CCGGTAACGGCCGGGCGGGCGGGCGGTTGGTTGTTCGCCCCCTGCCCGGCACGGGGTAGCGCTGCCGGAGCGGTGTCCGCCGCCCTGGTACCCCGGTACCGGAGGGCGGGAAGGCAGCTCTAACCTTTCTCATGACTAGTCCACGATACATTTCCCACCGGAAACGAAACCTACAGCGTCCCCAAACCGTTCAACCTCCCACCGCGCCCCCAGCGTTGCCGCAGGGGACAAGGCGGGAGCCAGGGCCGCGCTCGGAAAAGGGAGTAAAAGGGAGCTGAGGAGAGAAGAGAGAGCGAGCTGCGTGTGCTCCTGGGCTCTCCCCAGCGCCCGGGCTGAGGAGCACCACAGCCGCCCTGCTGCGCTGCTGCTGCTGCTGCTGCTTTTACCCGTGGTGGCTTGTAATTAAAAGAAATCAATAAAAATCGTGATGTTACTTCCAAAGCGCTTGGAAATTGTATTAGAGATCATACATCCTCCTGCTGCGTTGCTGGAGTTACAGCCTAGCTTCTCCTCTCTACGGCTTGGGGCACGTTGCAAGAAGGCCGTTGGCTGTTGCTTGAATTAACGTTGGCAAACACCACCTACCCTCGGCGAGGTCGTGAAGGCTCCTTAAAATATAACAGTATCACCATGACATGTTCCAAAAGAAAATGCAAGCAAGACGCCAGTGCTCCGAAAGAGCAGGTCTCACATCAAACGGTGCTCTTTTCAGGTCCGTCACACTGACCCCCTCCTGCGGGAGATGTTCTGTTTCAAGTAAAAAGACATGAATATTCACAGAAGCGGGTGCTAGAGCAAACACCACTGCACTAAAGTCACCTTCCCTCTTTTTCTGGCTCCTTGAACCAGACAAAGCTTGTAGCATCTTTCCTGAGACCCAACGTACTGTCTGCTCCCGTCTTGGAGCCACCCCAAGCTACAGCACCCTGCTTCAGACCGGGACTCCCTAGGGGCATCTACGCTCGCATTCAGTTCAGAAGAGGAGCGCCCCTTTGAAGCAAATCCCATCGTGCCCACCTCTTACCGTGCCATGAACCACTGACCCGAGTTCACATCTCGGAAGCAGCCTGGAGTGCACAAAATGGGAATATTTGGGGATGAAGCAGAACAGGAAGATGAGTTTCCACAGCACCCCTATTGCATTCCCACTGCTAACAGAGGCTGAGGCCAAAGGACCAGACTAGAGCTGGTCTAAAGCAAAAGTTCCCCAAACCGCATACAGTGGGAACACTGGGTGCCCCACATCAACGATTTGCTCTACAAATCTGCTCCTGTCAATCAGTTGCATTTGCAGATATGTCTGCATTAACAACCTAAAAGGAGGTGCTCTCTGCTATGATTATTGTAACATTTCACTGGATTTTATTACCAACATCCTTTGAAATTTTTGGAATTAAAATAGTTTGCTCTCGCATTTCTGAAACATTGTGTCATTTCATTTCTGCCAAAACTACTCAGAAGAAAATAATGAATTTCAGTTTTCCTAGAACAGAAATTTTCAGCTAATAAAAATGTTACTGACATGTTTCCCCACTGCTTGTTGTCATCCCTCATGACAGGTGAAAAACCCAGTTCCTTTGCCTAAGGCTCTTCTCTGCTTTCAGAGACACAGCGTTTCTTCTTGCATCTCCACCCATACCTTAAGTTTTAAATATATGCAGTACCACATTATAGTAAGTATTCATTTAGTCCCCTGTAGTATGTCAGCATAAAGTTATCCTAGGCTTATGTCCAGTTTTAATCTGCCCAGCCTCAGCTTCTGCCCTCTCGCCTCCTCTGCAGTTGCTTCTGATGATGCAGTACGATCTGCGTGGTGTGGCCAGTAGGTAAGGGTGGGAAGCAAGCTATACTCCACCTTCCCCGTTTAGCACTTATTCCTCTCCCCCGCAAAGCACGCAAACAAAACTACAGGTGGAGAATCACTGATGGACTTTACATTCGAAAGAAAAGTGGCATAAAAGGCTGAGGAAGGGGTCAGGCATTCAAGGGGAGTTGTTCCACCACCTTCAACACCTTCTTTTTATAATCAGGCTAAAACTTCCAGGTAAGATCATACTGTTCAGGTGGAGAACATGAGAGAGAAAGCTTAGCAAGACGAAAAGAGAAAAAAATACCACCTCCATCCAGAGGTCATCAACCCTTGGTCAGGGAGGAGCGCTGAGATACTCATGTGCCCAGTATCAGTATCATGAAAGATGAAAATGGTGTTTGTCTCCAGCCAAAAATTGCTTCTCTTCCCTTCCTGGTTACTGTTTTAGCTTTTTCATTTCCCCGACTTCTGAGAAGCTCTGCCTTTGCTATCATCAAGAGAGAATAATTTTTGTTCAAATTTTAAAGAAGTTAACTTGAAAGAGAGTACCAATCCCAAATATTTCAGTCACAAAAGGTAAAAAAAAATTGTCACAAAAATATTCCGAGCCAAAACCTGAGTTCCATAATAGAAACACGAAACCTTAATGATTGTTGTCTCTACATCAGAGCTTGGGGGGAAGGAGGGGGAAATCAGTCTTGCAGCTGCATACAACCTGCAACACTGTAGTAGTATTTTTGGATAACCTTAATGAGTTATCCCCGAATGAGATACCAAGTACTTTTTACAAACCCAAAGGCTTCTAAATAGACCATTCACTTCTCAACAAAATTCCCAACTCTAGCTCTATTCCATCCATAATTTCATTATTAAACATTACTTACTTGAAGTTACAGTGGACCCTATACCACTGCAAGAGTGCAGTCTCACAAGGAGTGAACTCTTCAATCAGAGATTTTAATCGGAAGCTGTTTATCTCCAAGTGAACAGAACCATGCTGTAAAACAGCAGAAAGCTATCAAAATCTCTGCCACACTCAAAGGAAAAGGCTCAACTAGAGGTGAAAACGAAGAAAACCATTAGACTTACAAGTATGGAGGGTAGGCATAATTAAAAAAAAAAAAAAACTCTTGTCAAAAGTAGAAAGGAAGACTAAAAGTTCCAAAGTTTTAAAAGTAGGATGGAAAAACTGATCAAGAAGAAAAGAAGAGGAAGACTTCCAAATTAACAGGAAGATGATACACAGGAATGCATAAAACCCTAAGAGCCTGAACACGCAGCCTGACTACAAAGACCTTAATTTAAAAGCAGCTAGTAGCGCAAAGCAGCTCCTGACAGAGGTTACTAATCTGCTAAACACCAAGGTACGGACAAACGCACAGTAACACATACAAATCCTCCCCCAGCCAGTACGGAAATCTGAATTGTAAAGACAACTAATTATTAACATGCTTATGAAGTTAGTAAAGAACAGTTTAATTACAGATTTTTGTCAAATCTCTAAGGTGACACGCCTTTTGTTGCTTGCTTGTGTAACCATAACTTTTTCTACTAATATACTTTAGATGACTTCCGGTTAAATAACAAATTGAATTAAAACACCGCAAATAAGAGCTACTCTAAAAGACACTATTAGCTGTACAGCAATTACATTAATAGGCACTGCTGCACATCTATCACCACTGCAAATCTGCCAGGAGTTTGGAAAATGAAAGGAATGAAATTAAACTGTTTGTGGTTAAAAGATCAGACACAGGCAGGTCATTTGAATGCAGGAAGCTAGGAGAGAGGACAGAGCCTGCTTTGCATTCACATTTTAGCTTTTTTTAACGGTTAGTTTGAAATGAAAAAGTAAACAGCTATGCAAAAGAGGCCAGATACAGCCAAATTTTCTTACCCCTCACCTCAGTAAGGCATGCTTTATTTAAAGACACTGATGTTGAACTGGACTATCTTATCCAAAGCTAAATATAAGTAAGCACACTTATTTAAAGCCATCATTTTCCTGTCACAATTATTTGTATTCCAGTCTCCAATCGGTGGTTTTGCAGTCACAAAAGTGAGCTATATACATACATACATACACACACACACACATATATATATATATGCATGCACACAGCCAGTGGTCAAAACTGAGCAGTCAATAACATGCTATGTACATATAAAAAAAGTCTCAATGCCCAAAGGTGCAGCTTTGTCATAATTGATATCAACTTTCACTGTAAACAAAGTTTTACATATATCAACACATGCAGAAGATACTCTACATTAAT